CCCCACGCGCCGCTCACCGCCCCCTGGCGCCGCTTCCGCTTCCGCCGCCCCGCTGCTCCGGAGCAGCCGCGTTAACCCGCGGCGCGCCGCGGCCTTGCCGCCATGGTCTTTTCCACCGTGGTCCGTCTCGTCACGGCCTCCCTTGCTATGGCCTTCCCCACAGTGCTCTTCCTCTCCATGGCCTTCCTCGCCACCGTGGTGTTTTTTTGCCATGGCCCTCCTCACCATAGTCTTCCTCACTGTCATGTTCTTCACCATGCCCTTCTTCACCATGCCCTTCTTCACCAGGCCCTTCTTCACCATGCCCTTCTTCACCATGCCCTTCTTCACCAGGCCCTTCTTCACCAGGCCCTTCTTCATCATGCCCTTCTTCACCATGCCCTTCTTCATCATGCCCTTCTTCACCATGCCCTTCTTCACCATGCCCTTCTTCACCATGCCCTTCTTCACCATGCCCTTCTTCACCATGCCCTTCTTCACCATGCCCTTCTTCATCATGCCCTTCTTCACCAGGCCCTTCTTCACCAGGCCCTTCTTCATCATGCCCTTCTTCATCATGCCCTTCTTCACCATGCCCTTCCTCACCACGATCTTCTTTGCCATGGCCTTCATTGTCACGGACTTCCTTGTTACGCCCTTGCTCACCACAGTCTTCCTCACCATGGCCCCCCTCACCATGACCTTCCTCATCACGCCCATCCATCTCGCGCTGGCTTCCATCACCATAGTCCTCTTAATCGTGGTTGTTCTCGTCGTGGTTTCCCTCGCCATGGCCTTCCCCACCCTGCTCTTCCWCACCACGGTCTTCCCCACCCTGCTCTTCCTCACCATGGCACCAGCGTCCCGCCGCGTGCCGACAGCGGCATCTCCCACAGCTCCGGCCTCGTCCTGGCCCCGTGATCCAGATAGCTCCATATGGTCCCAAGCCTCAGCCGGGACACCCCTGCCCGGTCCCACCGTGTCCCGGACACATCTCAGGGTGCAGCACGGGCGAGCAGCGAGCACCCCACGTTGCGTCAACCCCGTTATTTATTTATCGGCCACCTGTTTGGGCTGGAAGTGAAGGAAAAGCACCCAGCAAACACCTTGCACTCCGCAGGGATATCCCTGGAGCGGAACTGACGGTTGCCCCACGGAGCTTCCCGGCGAGGCAGCTGCCCCCGTCGCCGCGCTCGGCTCCTGCGCGTGGGCCTGTGGCCAAAGCAAAGGCCGAGACCAGCGCTTGGAAAGGCTGGTACTAAATAATAATAGTAATAACAACAACAACAAAAAAGCTCTGGACAAGCCGTTTCCAACTGTGGAACTGGTTCAAGGACTGGAAAAGCAACTTTAGCTGCTGTGCAAATACCGGCTGCTGGGGAGCATTCAGGGCTCTTTTGCCCAAATCCCTGGAGGGATCTGGAGAAGCAGCTCCCACCACCCAGGGCACATTCTCCCCAACGCTCCCGACTGTCCCGCAGGAGATCCCCAGGCGGGATGAGGGGCAGGATTAGAGTTGACGCCACTTCCAGCACCATTATCATTGCCTTTCCCAGAAGGAATTCTGCATTTGGCTACAGGTTAATCCTAGATACTCAAAAAAGAGAAAAAATCTGGGAAAAGGAAAACTCGGGGACAAGGAGAACCCTGGTGCCCCCGTCCCCGACTCAGCACATGGAGGGTGCTTTTTAAGGCCACCGTTTGTGCAGGGACCGTCCGCTTCCCGCCGGCGCTGCCCCAAACCAGCCTTGCATGGTCACCGTGTGAAGAGGTAGAAGTTTATTGGAATATAAACATTCAGATAACGTGTAAGATAGAAAAACCCAACAACAACATATACAGACACTTGTTGGAAGGAGACCTTGAGGTATTTATCCACCGCCTAGGCTATCACATTTCTTTTTTTTTTTATTTATTTACTTATTTTATCTTTTTTTTTCTTTTTTTTCCTTTTTTTTTTTTTTTTTTTAAATAGGTAAGAAAACTAGTAGCAAGGCTGCTGCAGCTGTCTGCCGAAAATGTCTGCTGATGGGAATCCCTTCGGAGCGCCAGGGCAGCGGCCCAGGGGCCCGTCCTCGCCCCGCACGCTTCCTCGGAGAGCCCCTTCCCGAGCTGCTTCCCGCCGGTGCCGGCTGGCACCTGCCCAGGGCGAGCTGGGAGCCGCAGCACAGCGGCGAGCGGGTGTTTTTTCCCAGCCGGGTGTTTATCCCGGGGGCAAACAGGAGCCTGGGGCGCACCGTGGCGGGTGCTGAAGCAGCGGAGGGCCCCGTGCCGGCCGCTCCTGGCGGAAGCCCGAGCTGGCGCGAGTGCCACGAGGAGGAGACGCTGCGGAGCGGAGCACTTCCCCTGGGAGCAGCCCTGGCTGCACTAGCAAAACCCCTGAGTACTTTACAGTCGAGCACGGGGCGAGCGAGGCGCCGCCTTCCCCCGGCCTCCCCAGCCCATCTCTGCTGCTGGTTCCCCTAACCCTGTCCCTAGAGCCGGGCAGCTCAGCAGGAGACGCGGAGCTCGGCCAAGCGCCAAGCGCCCGCGTCAAAGCCGGCCTAGGGACAGGGTTACTCTTCACAGTCTGAATGGCTGGTCCTTGTCACCGTGTCATGCCAAAGGACCAGTTTATTGTTGCAGCTTATTTTACTGAGGTATCTGTTACGCATCGCGACTTGACTCTTTCCCTGAATCGGATACAAAACAATCTGTTAGTCCCTGTCTAGTTCCAGTCTAAGTTGTGTAAAGCTTATAAACATTAATACTCTAGTAGTGTCAAAGCTGTTTAGCAGTTCAGTGATTTGAGTGCCTTTCTGTGCAAGAAAACACAATGTTAGCATGTGATATATAAGCAAAAACACCCATTACTAACCTCTGCTCCCCAGGACCAGAGAAGAAAGCGTAAGGAAAAGCAAAAAGACCCCAGTCCCACTCTTAGGAAACAGCCCCTAAACCCGCCCACCCCTATCTCCAAAACAAAACGAAATCCAAGGGGAAAGGAAACAAAACCAAAACGATCTGAATGAGCCCCAGAGCCTGGGAAATCATCTCCGAGTCCGAGACGGTGAAACGTCTTGGTGAAACGTCCACARCCTTGGAGGGCCGTGTCACCCGCCACGCCAATGCCCTGCAGCCAAAGAGCAGCTCTGCTTCCCGCCGTGCACGGGGGTGGCTGTTGCTCCCACCAAAGCCAGCCAGGAGCTGGCTCCMTCACGTCTGGTTGGAGAGAGCAAGAGATCTTCACGGGCTGGGAGCAGAAACGCAGCTGCCACTCAGAGGAATGGATCTGTGCATCTAGGGACCCCGCAAGAGCACCAAGTCAGAGCACAGCGGAGGAGGCCGGTCCCGTGCCAAGGCATGAGGCCAAGCCGGGCTTTCGGCAGTCACAAACCGCTTTGCTGTGAGAGGCCTGGCAAACGTGTAGTGTTCCTGCTAAAGACATGGATTATGAAGCTCTGCAATGAGAATATGGACCCTGAAGACTCCCTGTTGTCCACAAAGGAGGGATCCTCTAACTCAGCAGCCAGTCTCGCCCCCTTTCTCCTACCTCTACCTTTCCTCCTGCACCACATCCATGTCCTGCGACAGGACCTGTCTCCTGCGTAGCCTAAAGGATGGGGAAGCCACTGCTCTTTGGCTCAGCTTTGTTTTTCTTTCTGTCTTTGGTGCTACAATCAAAAATAAAAATAAACACAACATCAGCAAAACCACATATAAAAAAACCAAGCATTAAGATATGCCGATACTTCCTGAAGAGGTTAAAAAAAAATAAAACAAAACAAAAAACAATCCCCCCCCAAACAAACAAACACCCCCCCAACAACAAGTACATATCTGAGGTATTTCATCTGCTCAAAAAAACCTGACTTGGGCCTGGAGGATGGGAAGGACGTCACCAGGGCAGGACGGACGGGGCTCGGATCTGCTCTCCAGGCTGGGGGAGCCGTGCACGGCAAGGGCCAGCCCAGTCCCCCGCAGGAGCAGAGAGGGCCCGTGAGCGGGAGCTGGCTTTAAAGCGGAGCTTGGAAGGGAAATGGCAACGACTTCCTTTCTCCTGCTTCCCTCCCCGAGGCCTTACTTGGCTGGGGGCTGCTTTCGTGTTGCCCCCACGCAATCTGGAGGGGACTTGTTGCTTGTTTGAGGGCAACGGAAGGAAGCATTATATACTAACCATGATATATATATAACACATGGCACAGCCCCTCTGAAGYGGATTTTAAATATCACCTATTTTCTCAGGGCATGGACATGGAGAGCGTCCAGGGGCTACTGCAGTACACGCTAAGGGACAGAAGTCACTGCAGGAAGCCTAGACGCACTTAAGGGACGGCCCTTTTGTGTGAAGGGGCTGAAGATCTAAACCAAGCACAAACAAGYTGGAGCCGTCAGATAAACGCCACAGTGCACGGATTTCCTGTGGGGAGAGCGACCAGCTCGAGGGCATTTAAACCTGGGCTGGAGGCCTGYGGAAAGCAGGAGCAGGAAGCAGCCCAGTGCCAGCCAGAACGGAGCAGCTCACGGGTCCGTCTGTCTCTCCGTCTCTACAGGTCAAATACAGCGATGGGAAAGTGCTGCCCGAGCGGCTGAGATCTCCATGAGGAGGACAAAGGTTCACCAGGTGGCTCCACAAGCAGTGCTGCAGCCAGCTCTGCCACGCGGGACCCCGGACAATGACGGAGCTCGAGGAAGGGCAGCGAGGAAGCGCCTTGCTCTGCAGCTGCAAGACCTTCTGCAGCCAAAGGCAGCGAGGGACAGGGGGACAAGGTGCCCTGATGGCCGTTAGGATTGTCAATACACTGAGGTGTTTTATGGGCAGAGTGCAGGTGGGTCCCGGTCCAAGGAGAACCCCATCTCCCTGCCCCAACTGCAGCTCTTTTCCGCCTGCCTTGGTGACGTCTCAGCCATCCATCCACGCGCAGCTCCTAGAGACGATTCCCTGATTGAAAAACGCCAGGTGGGCCCCCTTCTCCATGTCCCACCCCCAGCAGGAACACAGCAAACCCTGGGAGGAGGTGGAGGAAGAAAAACAACAATTCAAAGGGAGGAAGAAAGGGGAGAACAACGAAAAGGGCTGGTACGGACAGACGATGAGGATGACACTCGCTGGCGTGGAAAGCTTTCAGCAGCAGCAGCATCTCGCCGTCGGCCAGCCGCAAAGCAGGTTCCTTGAGATGAGGTAAATCTGTGCGACTCCTCCCCGGCTCCCGCCGCCCCGAGCACAGGGCAGGGCTGCCGGGGGCCAGTGTGAGACAGCGACCCGGGCCCCGTCAGAGAGACCAGCTGGTGGAGGGCTCTGCGCTCGGCGTGCCCCGGGATGAGGTAGGGCTGGGGGAGCAGTGGGAGCTGCTGCTGCTGCTGCAGGAGCTCTGGGTGCCGGAGCCTGCGATGAGGTGGACGACCGGCTTCTGCGCGAAGAGCACTCCTGCAAGGCACAGGCAGCGAGAGGAGGTGGTCACGGCGGGACACGACCGAGAGGACATTGCAGAGGGCAAGGAGGAGCCTAGAGACACCGCGGAGATCGTGGGGACCTAAGAGCACGAGACCCTCTGCGAGGTAAGTAGGAGACGAAGCTCCTCATGTGGAGCTCCTCATATGGAGCTTCCTCTCCATGTGAGGAAGAACCTCTTCTCCATGAGGGTGCCAGAGCCCTGGAACAGGCTGCCCAGGGAGGCTGTGGTGTCTCCTTCTCTGGAGATSTTCCAAGCCCGCCTGGATGTGACTGGRTACCCCGTGCTCTGGGTGTCCCTGCTGGAGCAGGGGGGTTGGGCTAGATGATCACTAGGGGTCCCTTCCATCCGCAACCATTCTGGGATTCTGTGTGATTCTGTGAGATGGATCGGCAAGGAAACAAGACGGGACACCCAGGGACCCTGCTCTGGCTTCTTCTGCCTTAGGGGGAGCCTTCTGCTCCAGAGAGCTGAGAGCTCCCAGGCGGCTCAACACCTCTGGAGCTGAGGAGCATCTTTGTCCCACACATAGGCTTTGGCCAAGGCTTGCATGGAAGTCCCTTCCCCGTAAAAGGTGGATTTCCCATCAGTTCTCCTCTTCTCTGTCACTGCTTAYGAACTGTCAGCAAAACAGTGCCATTAGGACAGCTCCAGCATAGAGAGATCAGGGCAGAAAACTGCATAAAATTAGAAAAAAATCTCCTTGCACAAGGAAGGCAAAATAGAATGGAGATAAGTGAAAAAACACTATCCACAACAAGCACYGAAAGAAAAGGACGCTGTCCTGACAGACTGGGACCCGAAAGGAGAGAAGTCACCTCCTGCTAGACCTTCTAAGCAGGCCAAGTTCTGCGCTGGGTTTTGGCAAAGCACGGGCCCAGGGAGCAGGCCACCCTCTCTGCGTCCCTCTGCGCATCCCACGCGCACCTCTCCACCCACCCCGGGCAGCGCTTCCTGCTCACCAGTGTAAATTGTGCCGTTGATCTCCACCGACATGTTAATGCTCCCGATGCCGGTCGGGGACAAGTTCAGCGCCGCCGCCGAGTCCGCTTTGTCTTCTTTGGAGGAAGGAGAGATGTGGTGTTAGCTCGTGACCGCGCTGTTCCCCGCGCCACCCAGACGCGCTCCGAGGTTTTACATGGGGTCCTTTGCCTCCTGTTCRCTGAGGAGGTCCCTAAGGAGCTGGACTTCCTACCCTGCCCAAGGCCAAGCCAACCATGGCAAGCCTGGGCTGCAGCAGCTCCGGCGGCCACTGGAGGGAGGGAGACGACCCTGAGAGCYAAGGAGCCCAAGGCAGGACCCCCAGGCATGGAAACCGGTTCCTCCTGGCTGGCCTCAAGCTGGGGGCTCTTTTTTAAGCCATTACAGGCCAGTTTTCTGAAAGGGGCGGGCAGGATTTGTGCCAGTGCCAATGCTCAGCTGGGAGCCACTTTGCACTGGTTTTTAACAGGTTTTAATGTCAAACTCTTCTGGATGTTTCCAAAAACTCTAAGTAGTTTGTTAAGTGTGAATAGGGGAGGCATTCCTTCGGATCGGATTCCTTCCCTGCGTGCACRAATTCATGCTCACAGTTTGCACGTTTCCAGCTGCTTTCCAGTCTGCTATCGAGTTTAAATAACCTCACAAAGTGTTTTCCAAAAGTGACTTTACAAAGAAGCGCAGTATTATTTTTGGTTTGCAGCTAGGGAAATTAAGACACACRAGGTGGATGGACTTGCCCACAGCCTCCTAACCAAGGTGGCAATAGTATTGTTGAATCCCTTRGAGGACTCAGTCTTCAAGGATATTCCATTCCTATCAGCAGGTTACCATCCAAAGAGACAAGAACAGCTCCTAGCGTTTTTGTTTAGGAAGTTCAGGGTGGAGAGATAAGCAGAGCAACAAAACAAAACGAGAGGGAGTGCACATYAGCATAAAACCTGCATCGTCTTTACTCGCTTTTTTTTTTTTAACAAATGCAAATGTTGAACTGGGGTGGGTGCCTAAGCATCAGAAAAGGCAACGTGAAGTCCTGGTCACACCCGGCAGCAGCAAACTGCTCCTGCCTTCAAGGGGAACCTGCTCTGACCCTTGGCGGTATCTGCGTGCAGCGAAGCGCCTCGGTGCAGCCTTTCCAGCGCGGGCTGGAGGAAGTCACCCGATTTGTTGGAAGCTCTGGGAGACCCTGGGCCCCTGTGGATACCCCAACCCTCCTCCTACCACTTGGCAAAGGATTCCTAGAAATTGGGCTTCTTTCCCACTGGATGCCTTCTGCAGCGCAGCCCACACGGAAGAAGCTGTAACCTCAGTGGACATTTGTGCTATTTTGAGTTTGCTAACCAGAAAAGGGCAGTAAAAATCCCTTGCAGCTCAGCGATGGCATCAGGAGAGTGGACAGGAGCAGAGGAAAGCTGCCCATCACCAGCCTGCCTTTGGCTAGGCTAAAACGGGCTCCCAGATTAACCCCACGAGTGTCAGGGATGCGGCTCAGAACAGTTTCGTCCGTGTTTTCCCTGAACGAAGGGGGACCCAAGGGCAGTGGTTGCAAAGGAAGCCAAGCCGGCAGCCTCTGTGAGCGGTGGCTCTGCCAAGCGCCAGCCCTGAGCACACGCAGCCGCTYGAGGGCCACGGTAACGTCACCGTGCTCAGCCCGCACACGAGATACCGAGGGTGCTGCCTGCCAGCCAGCTGGGATTTGCTGGCTTAGGTGCAGAGCCCCCGGGACAAGGACAGATGGCTTCCGACCCAGACTGGGCTGCGGGTCCACAGGAACATAAGGAAAACGCTGGCAGTAAGGAAAAACTTGGGAAAGGTTGCTATAGATCCCACTGCAGTTAYTGTGGCCCGCTGCAGTAACTGACTGGCCCTGTGCCCTGCGAGATGATCCAGCCTGTGTGGGTGGATCCAGCCGTGGGGTCTGACATTCCCCACGGGCAGCAGTTGCCAAAGGCTGCGGCACAGCTTACCCTTGCCGTTGATTTTGATCTTCATGGGGATCTGCCGCGCCACGCTGAAGAGGTTGCGCTGCAGAGCCTGCTGGACGAGCCGCTGCTCCTCCTCCGTCATCCGCGACACCTTCTTCTCCGGAGGCTCCCCAGACTCCAGTCTCTCCCTCAGCTGCTCCAAGGTGGCTGTTCTGGCCGCCACGGATGCCTGCTGGCTAGCCAAGGTCACTGGCACGGCGATTCGGTTTGGCATGGGCACGGTCAAGGGCACACCGTCACCTGCGGCGGGGAAAGGGAAGGGGTCAGGCAGGTCCCGGCCGGAGAAGGGCACACGCCGRGCGCCGGCTCCGCAGCTCCGCGGCCGCAGGAGGGCAGCCCTTCAAAACRCCCCTCTCCCAAGAGCCGCCCCACGCTCTTCCCGCAGCCGCTCTGCCGCGCTGGGATCTTGCCGCAGCCTCCAGAGCAGCGCTGGGTTTTGCCCACGCTGCGGGGCTGAGATCGCTACCAGCAGCCACTGGATGGCAGCCGATTTTCTCCACAAAATCCTTTCTCATCGGTCACGTTCCTAAGGCATCAAAAAGCTGCACTGTTCCTACTGGAAGTTTTTGCTCCTGGAAGAACATCACCTCACTCTCTTGAATTTTAGTCCATGCCRTTCCAAAATCACCCCCCACTGCACTCCACCCTACTCTGCAAATAAGGAGCACTTGTTTTTACAGCTTCATGCAGCAGCCCTCCAGGCCTTTCTCACCTTCCAGGAAAGTAACAAAGATCCATGAATCCCTGCAAGCAGCAGGCACGGTCTGTTTCCCAGACAGGGGATGATGGATGAGGACAGATTAAAAGCCTCGCCAGAGGCCTCGTGAAAACAGAAGAGTCAGGTCCAAAGCCACAGCAATTCCTGGCTAATCCAGGACCTCAGTTTGCTCTGCTATTGTTCCCTCTTCTCCCGAGCCACAAATTCCTTAACACGGCTTGGGATTCAAAGGGGATTCTCAGAGGAAGGGGTCGGGGGGCAGCCAGAACATTGCGCAGCCCCTCAGCTACGTGAGTGGCCCCGCTCCGGGTCCGGAGCGGAACGGAAAGCTCCCGAATCCCGCCGYGCGCCTCCCGGGGGACTGACCTTTCCGGAGCGCAGCTGCCGGGGACGCCCGGGGGCTGCCGCTCCCGCTGCCCGGCGCGACGCCCATCATCGGGAAGCGGATCTTCGGCGGGGACAGCAGGGAAGGGGGCCCCGCGGCACCGGGCGAGTAGCTGAACAGCGAGGAGCTGTAGCTGGGCCGCCGGCCCTCGCGCCTGTTGCCGTCGATGGCGGCCTGCAGCTCCGCGGGGGAGCTCAGGGACTTCTTCTCGCACTCGTAGGCGTACAGGTACTTCATATACCTGGGAGGAAGGGAGTCGAGGGGCCTCCGGTCAGCCGGAGAGTCCTTCACAGCTCAGGAGCCCTCTAGAGCTACACGAATTAAGGTCTCGGGCCATGACACATACATGCAATGAAGGAAAATCTAGGAGCTGTCTCATCTCATTTGTGCTGAGAAGCACCTGGCTGTTATAAAACCTTGCTAGTGCTGCTGAATTCTGGCACTGAGCTTGGCAGGGGAGGGTCTGTTGCTGCCAAAGGCTTTAAAAATGTCAAAGAGGCCACACGCCCCCATAATGGTATGGGGGGCAAACCACCATCTGTAGCCACGATACTGCCCAAGGGTCCACGCAAGCCACGGAAACCTGAAAGCTYCCATTTTGCAGGAGAGCCGGGGTCGGCTTTCCATGCTTCATTCGCTGAGCACCGTGAGTGCAGCTTCAGCTTCGCCGCGTGTTTGCTCTCAGCATTCCTCCCCTCCTCGGCTTATTCTACTCCTTTTCTTTCTTTTTATTGTACTTTTCTAATCAGAGTGAGGGGCTGCAGGTCAGAACAGCAATGCTCGCAGTGACCAGCTGCTAAATACACATTGCCACAGCTTCCCGGTGCTAACAGGCATTAAATGATCAAGTTTATACTTGAGACCTACAAATCAGGAGGCCCCTCTCCCTCCTCCCTGTTGTGCCAGGTGCTCTACGGAGACGGAGCAGGGGACACTCCTTGCCCTGAGGAGTTTAACTTCTAAGCAGGCAAGAAAAGCAGGGGATGGAAAAGAGGGAACATCAGCGCCAAGACTGCAAGCAGGGAAGGGATGGAAAGGGAATGAGCTGGGGAAAAACAAGGGGAGAAGGAGTATGAAGGAAGAGCACAAGGTGATACAGGGAGGGGGCTGAATGAAGCAATTCAGCAGCTCCTCTCTCGCCACAGAGTGGGGATTAATCTCTCCCATTTTCCTGCCCCATCCTCCTCCTGCTGTCCCATTTGGGCCCGGACCTGTGCGGTTTGACCCTCTGGACTTACTGGGTGCGAAGCGTGAAGGCGGCACTGGTGATGGAGGTGGGCAGATTAAGGCCTTTGGTGATCTCCCGCCAGATCTTCTTGTTGATGATTTCGACCAGCCCGCCCTTCTCCGTCACCAGCTTGTAGAGCATGTAGAGGTCCAGGATCTGCTTTGCCATGATGGGGATCCGATTGATGGGAGTTCCTGCAGGGCAACAGCAAGGAAGGGAGCATGGAGTCAGAGAGAGAAAACGAGGCCGAGAAAACCAGCAGGTCGGCACGATCCATCTTAGGAAATTCAGGCATTTCTGTTTGCGGCCTGACTTGAGGCTTCTCCGTGGGCAAGTAAATGAGCCAGAGAAGTGCAGCTCCATGGCACGTCCTCTCCGTGAAAACCCCTTTCCTGTAGGCAAGGCAATTATCAGATGAATAATAACCTGCAGCCAAGAGCAACTTCTAAAACACAGAGAGGGGAAGTGGGGACTATTTAGTCCTAGGGGCCAGGCAGCAGCACAGAGGAATCATTTCCTAAGAGCTCCTGGGGCAACCCCAGATAAAGATCTGCCTCACTCGCCCTCAGCAAGGGGCTGAACAGCCATCCATCGGGATGCTGCTCCCTCGCTCCCCAACCTCTGCTAGGTTTAGGCTTGGAATGAAAAAATAGAAAGGGGCACATGCCCTTCGGCAGCATCTCTGCCCGCCACACGCATTTGCTCTCTGCCCATGGTTGCAAGCGCACGGACACCCTTTTGCTATGGATTCCACTCTTACAAAGCATTTAAAAGGCCAAACTAAGAGACGTGGGCAAGGAAGGCCCCTGAAAGAAAGTGCTGATGTWGCAGCCCTTTTATTCGGTGTAGGAAATGCTGCGCGGGATCAAAGAGCAGCCCATGCGAGGCCGGTATCCTGCCCAGGACGAGGGTCTGCAGCAGCCTTTACGGGAAAGCCTACGGAGCCCGGCTGTAATGGACAATTACGGGATACCCGGCCCACAGGGGACACTTCTGCCACCGCTCATCAGCGAGTGATTCGGTTAATGCCCCGCGGCACAGCGCTTTATGGCCCTTATAAATGGGTTTTATTCTGTTTAGTGAAAAGGAGCCGAGCTCAGCCCCGCAGATGTTCTCGTTACCCGTGTAACTAATTTACTTTATTCTTTTTGGTGGGGGGAGGCCTATTACGCATTAGCCCGTAGCACTAATTCCCACAGGTTAATGAGATGCTGGATAAATAAAAGTAAACTCGTASAGGGCTGCCTCGAATTTCACCAAGTTAATAACAGTGGGCCATAAGGCAAAGCCCACAGCAACCTCCGGGGCTCGGTCTGCTCGCTCCGCTGCTTTCCGTGTCCGTAGCTTCTTCCACTGCCCTTTCCCGCCCGCAGAGGTGCCCGTAAAGCAGCAATTTAAAGCAGCAATCTCCAAGCTGTGGTTGGGAAGAGCCCCGCACGTCGCGTGCTGCAGGTCCTCGGGGAGCATGAGGACGGTCCCCAGTCACCCCCCACGCTCCTTCCCGGAGGATAAACCTCATCCTCCCCGGGTTCCCTTCTTCCCCGCCCTCCATTTTGTCCCGGCGCGAGTGGTCAGAGCAGATTCAGAGCACAGAGGAGCAAGGCTCGAGCGCGATCGTGTTACGGGCCCCAAGTCATCATTCATCAGCCGGGCCCCAGGGCTGCCGTCCCACCCAGCCCGCCGCAAACGCAGCCCAGTTATTTATCTCGGATACGCCAGCACGGAGGCTGGGGTGGCTCCCCCGACCTCCAGCCTCCTCTTTCCCCCCAAAAAAACCACCGCTGCAGGGACCCAACGTCGGCACTTCAGCACTTCTCCTGCAACAAAGACAAATATCCTGCTCAGCAGTGGGGAAGAGAGGCTTAATCCGCATGGCCAGGGAGCGGGCGCAGAGCGGGAGCGCAGCAGCAATCGGAGCTGACCCCCGGGCCTCAGGTTACCTCCCTTTTGACACCTTCCCTTCCTGCCGTTTGCTTTCAAACAAGACCTCCCGACTGAAGCGCCCTGGAATTTAATTAGGAACTCGGCAAACTAAGCTGCAAGCTAGAGGTTTTCCTTCCCCCCGCCGCCTCCTGTAAAATTTAAGCAGGCTGCGAAGTTTTGCAGCGAGGACAGAATTWATTTTGCCATTGCAGCGTTTACCCAGGGAGCTCGTTTTCCTTTCATGTTTTTGCAAAGAGAAGGCCGCTCCGGGCAGTATTCCCAAAGCAGGATGAGGGGCTGGGGCTTTGGAGTTTGGGACCCAGAACTCAGCTTGTCTCGGAGGCATGTGGTGGGGAAAGGCCCCATCCCACACTGGCCCGCGGCGGAGGAAGAGGAGAGCGATAAAGGCTTTAGTGGGAGAAGGAGAGGCTGTGAAACGAGCACCGGCGGATGCGGGATGCTGGAGCGGAGCGGCTCCTTCCCCGGGCGGCTGCGGGGCTTGTCAGGGGCTGTGATGGATGACTGTCATCTGGCAGCATCAGGATTAATGATCCGCGGGTCAGAGGGGAGAATTCCAGAGGGAAAGGTCAGCAGCCGGGGGCACAGCRGCAGACTTGTTGCCTTTTGATGGCAAATCCATTTTACTGTACTTCCCAGGCTGCCCCGCGCCGGCCCGCAGGAAAACACGCTGTGCGGCCTAGGCCCAGAGCGGGGCCTGGCCCAGACCCAGGCCCAGCGCCCAAGGACAGAGCACGAGGAAGGCGCCCGGGCCTGCTCCATTCTCTTGGCAAAGGGGCTGTTTTTCTGCCCCTCAGCGGATCCCCAGCGCCACGAGGCCTCCTTGGAGCGGTCGGGGACAGACGACGGGACAAGCAGTCGGTCCCCACTAGGACCCTGCGGAAGGAGGAGGAGGAGCAGGAGGAGCTGCCCACCGTTTTCTGCACGCACAGGCGGCTGCGGGAGGAGYTGGGGCTCCCGGGATGAAGGTTCTGCCCATGGGCAGCTCTGAGTKTCTCTGTCCCTCAGGAGGAAGGAGCAGCCGCTGCTGCCAAGCCCTTCACCCCTTCCAAAAGCCTCTCCTGCTGCAAGATGAAGCTACAGGCTGATGTTTTCACCCTCCMAAAGCATCTCAAGGAGAGCCCGAGGAAGATGTGAAACCCGGATAATCTTTGAAGCGCTGGTTGTGCCTCTGTGCCACTGAAAGGGCACTCAGAAGAGGCGCAGGCTACGTGCTGGGCTGAGGTCCTCCCTCGCCGACCGGCGCGCACTGACCTTGGGCGTTGTTTTTTCCTGCACTTCATCCCATCTTAGCCCAACTCCTGGCTAGACCAACATTAAACGGAGAAAGCTGCCACTAAAACCGCTCTTAACAGAACCGTTACTGCAGGGCTCTGCAGGCATTTTGCAGGGTTTTGCAGTCGTTTTGCGTCACGGCTCGTGCTGCCTGCAGAGACGCACACAGCGCGTTTACCCCCGCCTGCAAAGCTGTGCTCTCTCTTCCTTTTCTCTTCCATTTCTTCTCGTTTTCTCTCACGTTTCCGTTCAGGAAGGTCCGTTCCTGGGTGAGGCACACAGCAGCCCGGCGCTGGTTTTGCAGAGCAGCACTCGGGCTGTAACAAATGCCTCCGCACCTTGGAAGAGCAGCTGCAGGGGGAGGCTTTTAGCAACGCCCGGCTGCGTTTGCTGCTCCCCATCTCCAGCAGACCTGCCCCGAGGAGAGCAGAAGGCAACCCTAGGCAGTCCAAAGCAGCAGGTCTTCCCCAGGAGAGCATGGAAAGCCCACAGCGATTAAAGATATATGGATTTTATATACATATGAGGTASTTTTGAATTAAATCTTGAAGAGATCTTCACATTTCTTTGGGTGAAGAMGAAGGGAGTAACTGCTTGGCATGAACTGGAGCCCATACTCGGCTCACCAGACAACCCGCAGCGTAGGAAAGCCACCTGGATCCTGAACCAGCCCAGCTCCCGCTCTGCTATGCTCATCTCTGAGGGCAAATCCCGGCTGGCTTCATGCAAATTCGGCTTTTCAGGTCCTCCCGTTCGCGTTTACCRTCTTGTTTGGAACCGGCCCCAAGGACGCCGCAATAAAAAGTGGCGGCAGACGGAAGGGAAACGACCTCTCCCCGCTTCCTCCCAGCCCTTGCCATGGCTGATCTAATCTCCCCTGCTTTGCCGGCACTTCCACAGCGGGCATCCGCGCCTCCCGACGGGAACGCCGCCACCTGAGCGGCCTGCGCGCCGGGAGAGGCTCCTATCAAAGCAGGAGCCGGCAGCGAGCGCAATCAATCACGCTCCTCATGACAGGAGGCCCCCTTCTTATCTGCACCCCGCGAAACGCGGGCGCTTTCTGCTTCCCTCCTCGACAAGCAAGCCCGACAGCAGCCCCTTATCGGATTTCAGCTGCCGAGGGGACCGGTGGCACCGCCGAGGCTCTGGCCGCATTAACCTTCCCGCCCGGAGAGCCCCTCCGTGCCAGATCCCGGGCAGATAGGCTCTCCTGCAACAACCTCCAACTATCAGTGGCTACAGGCACAGCTGGGTCCAATATACTCGCTCTTGTGACGTCTTCGCCAGATGCTGGGCGGCCACGTAGCTGCTGGTGGCATTTCCAAGCGTCTGCCCTCTGCTCGGAACAGCCAAGCTCCTCTTCCCTGCCCCAGGATGAGATACAAACGCAGGAGGCAGCGGAGGGAAGCAGGGCCAGCTGGGCAGGGTGCAGGGGCCTCGCGCCGGCTGCACAAAACCAGCCCAGATCGGAGGCCTTCAGGGCGAGCAGTTCCACCCGGCTGGCCGCTGTTCCTGCTCCTCGGGAGCAGCGCGCCATCCATCACCTGGAAAACACGCCGGCACGTTCAGCTGGGAGCCTGCGACCATCCGCAGCACGGGGGAAGCACTGGCGTAAGGAAGAGCTTTGGAAGAGCAAGAGTTGAAGCAAACTCCCCGTCTCCGACATGCTCGAGAAACGTGTCACAGCTTAAGTAACATCCCAGTCTTCCAGAGACGGGAAGAGAAAGGAATCTCTGCCTTGATCCTGCAGGAAAGAGATCCAGGGCCTCGGAGCTCTTCAACCGGCCATCGCAAGACCCAGGTGCTGGGCTCAGATCGCCAAGATACCTAAAGATTCACGCAAAGTGACGGGAGCTGCATAAACCCCAATTATTTTTGTCCCCTTTCCGGGGCCAGTTCAGCTCCTAGCAAAACATCCAAGGCGCTCAGATATTTTCACGCTGGCTAAATTTTAAACAAATCTGGAGCCCAGAACCAAATAAACTCCTAATGTTGTTTTCCCCTTAATCACAACTGGAGCTCCTAATCTGATTTTGCTGGTGAGCTAAAGCAATATTCTCTCTGTAACCTCATTTTTCAACTACTTAAAAGCCGGGCATTKTAATTAACTGGGCTGAGAATTACCTGCACTGAAAGTTTTCCATTTTCCAGTTTCCACGCACTTCTGTCCCCTGCTTGGAAACGCTCAAAGCGTTTACAAAGACAACATAGTAGGGATGAAACCAGAACACAAGTTCCCCCTTAAAGCATACGGGAAAAAAAAAAATCGCTCTTCCTAAAAATACAGAAACATATCCCCAAATATGTCACCAATTCCTTAAGCGGCGCACAAAAGCCAGAGATTTAGCCACGTGCAGATCCAAAGGTCGCATTTGGAAGAGAGGTTATTTTGGACCATGCAAACCCGGCCCCTCCTGAGGAATCTTGCACGCAGGAAATGCTGGAGCTGGGTTTGSTGCAATGCACAGAGGAGAATTTTCCGCTGCCCAACGTCTTCTGCTATTTAGAGACATGTCTGCTCGTAGGTAGAGAAAAGAAAGGATGCTGAGAATTTATGTCTATTGATGTCTCACTTAGAGGGCTACCTTGCTCAATCCAGAGTCAGAAATATCTCCGGGGGGATCAAAAGGAGAAACCTGTGAAATTGAAGCAGGGAGGGAGCGAAGAGAATTCCCTGGACAAACGCTCCCAAAGCGCCGCTTTGCCTAGAGATAAAAGAATCCACCGGTAACTGCTTCTGTCAATACCCTGGATTCGCCGCAYTTCCACATGCGGACAGAGCATACAACAGCAGGAAAACATTAAAACCACACGGCAGACTTACAAAGCCCCTTCTATGCATACACGCATAAAACGCTCTCCACAGAGCGGTCACGCCACCCGGGAGAAGCAAGGTCACGCAGGAACCGCGACCAGACTCGGGAGAGCTGCACAATCGGAGACGTTTTACGAGGCCTCCACAAAGGCTCCAAGGGAACCAGCGCGCTTCCCTTGGAAGGGGCCTTTCCTACGGCACCGGGCGCGTTGCGGCATCTCTTCCGGCCCACAGCTCGCCCCAGGAGGGATTCCTTGCACAACCGTCGCCCACCCTTGCAGAGGATGGAACTGGCCCGCCAGCCAGGACAGGCGGCTGCAGCCAAGACAAGCGGTGCCACCAACACCAGCCCCATCCAGAGGCAGGAGCTGCCTCGCTCTGCTCCCCGGAACCTCCTTCAGGGCCACATCCCCAGTTTGCTCCTCTCGTTGTACCTGCCCCTTTGTTATCAAACAGGACAGACAGATGGAAGTAAAACTTAGCTTCCAGTTACATTCAGAGGGTGAGAAAGGCCGGGAAAGAGGAGTCCTGGAGGAGGGCTCTGGTTTAAGAGGAGACTTCAGAACCTCCCTGCAAAATATTTAACGTGTTGGTGCTTTGAAGCCCAAAGAGAAAGGCACAAAAGGCTAATCCTGCTGTGAAGATGCACAGATTTGGAAAACACATCCATCCCATCCCTTCTGTGGCAAAATTACTCCTGAGAGTCAGGAGTATGAGGGGGGTGTGAGATTACCCTGAGTCATTACAAACATTCGCCGTGCTTATGCTCTTGAAAACGGTCCTTCCCARTCCGTTACGGACGCGGGAATGACGGGGAGCGACTCCGGGACACGTCCGCACGGCCGGAGCCTCACGGGGACGCAGGGCTGCGGGAGGGCAGAGCGGGGAGCAGCCCCCATGGGCTGCCCCGAGGAGGCTCCTGCGCCCGCCGCCCCTTCCAGCACGGTCCTGCCGGGGCCGTTCCCATCGACGCAGCCAGGGATACAACCCCCAACAAAGGCAGAGCTCCGTCCCCCCTCTCATCTCCCCCTTCCATCGTTATTGCCGCGGAAGGGCCGTTTTATCACTTGCAGCTGTGGCCATTCAGCGACAACCTGCTGTGCTCGGAGGCAGATGAGACCCCCACGTTTGATCCGCATTAAGCCCATTTCATGGGCTCACGTTTCCAGGTGCATTCCCGGCAGCGGTGCCAGCAGCCAGACCTTTCCAAGCCTCCAGCTACGTGGCGGCTCCCGTGAAATCTGCCATTTCTCGTGCACCTTTCAGGCTCAGTGCTGGGCCGCAGTGTCAGCGCGCGTTCCACCAGCGCCGGGGAAGGGCTGGCACTTGTCTGCACTCCACAGCAACCCCAGCAGCGCTTCCTAGAGGGGCTGCTTTCCATTCCCTTCAAACACGAGGTGCAAATTAACCAGCTCTTCACACGTACCAGCTAAGGAGCCGGCCGCTTTGCTCTCAGGTGCAGTGAGGCGCCCGTTTTGTGCATCTCTGGGGCACTCTCGCAGAACAAGGCAGCTGTTCAGCCTTGCTTGCTTTAGGACGCTTGCTGCCACATCCAGCGCTGGTGGGCAGGGAGAAGTTTAAGCTAAGCAGTATCTCGTAACCCTGCTGTATTTGTAACTTATCGGAATAGTGGGAGAAGAGGGAAAACGGCAAGTCCACCTGCTCACTGCGAAGCTGCAGCCCTGGCGCAGAGAGCGGTGAGGAGGGCAGGGGGGGAGCTGCGCAAGCTCAGCCTCTGCAAAACCACCCGCGAGCCCCCAAGGTTGGGCTGCTGAGACATAACAGCTCACATCACGGACGGAAGGCTGGAGTTGCCTCTCAGTGCAATCCACGTTGCTCTGTTTTCACACCAACCTGAAGCAGCTCAGCTCCACCAAGTCCTTGCACCTTTCTCTTTCAGAGGTGCCAAAAAACAAAGCAGGCCTCGATGCCGCGTGCCCGGTGGCGTCCCACAGGCGGTGGCTCTCCCGCATTCTGCTCTCCGTGCTGTAGAAACCAAAGAAGCCTCCAAGAAAACAAAGCTGCTCGGAAACGCCCAGCTATGAATAGCTGAACTCTTGCAGCGAGCAGCTGGCAGCCAGCTCAGCCCCTGCACCAGGAATGTGTCAATTATAAATAATTAAAAGGTAACGGGAAGAAGAAACAGAGGCATCGAGCAGGTTTCTCCCTGGCACCTGGGGGTTCCTACTGCTGTCAGTCAATCACACCCCTCACATTATTGTTTTGAAGGCCASAGTTGCAGCAGAAGCGCTCAGAGGCACACGACCAGCCCCCTAAGCAGACACATGCCCTACGATCCGCCCTACCAAACTCTCACATGGATTTCTGCCATTGGGAATTCCCATACTGGGAACTCTGGGTGAGCGGCTTTTGGAGCAGCAGGTTCAACGCTGTCCCTTTACCCGGGACGTGCCAGATGTGCCCAGTGCAGGTGCCACCAACAGACACTGGGGCAGCTCGGCCCGTGCAGGGCTCTACGGCACTGCACAATTACAGATGAGGCCACAAAAACAGAGCTGAGTGCAGCCCAGAGCATTTGTCTTTTGTAGGATACCACGTGTCTTTCCCTTAAAAAAGAAAAGAAAGGAACACTTTGCAAGGAGGGAACTAAACTTTGTTATCCATGCAATAGAAAGAGGCTTTTGTGGTATTCCAGCTGAGCTGCTTCCCACGTGCATCATCATCATCACTGCACGGAGAAGATSATACAAGTTGTTGACACCATAAGGAGGAACGGGAGAACTTCTCCGAACCGCGTGCTCCGGCATTCAGTTATGCCAAATTACAGCGAGCACAAAGGTGGCATTCTGTGAAGCCCCAGGAACGCGCCTCTGTGGGGCTGCGGGCTCCTTCCACGCAGCCCACGCGCAGGGGGCACGGGAGGACGAGCGATCCCGCCCCGAATGGCTTATTCCCAAGGGCAGACGGGAACGCCCACACGGACACTCAGCCGTGTGGCACAAAGGCCTGGGGTGTGCAGTGCGGGCACAACTTGTGCAGGGCTAGGAGCGAACAGCAAGAAATACTAAGTGAAAAGGCAAGCGGGTTCTCCCTTTCCGAGCTCCTCATCTCCCAGGGCAATTACCTCGAGTCTTACCGTGGCTCTCCCACCCATCCTGCACGTTCAAGGGCTGGATTCATTCTTTCCACCTCAGGAGGAAAAATTCAGAGCGTGGTGGGATCCAGTTTTCCCCGTCAAACTCGTACAAAAATTCACTCACCTCTCTTCTGCATAAAGATGAAGAGATCATCCAGGAACTCCTTCCGCTCGGGATCACTATCCAGTTCATAGAGCTGTTGGAAAAAACRAGAATGAAGGTACAAGGCACACGGAGACGTGGAAGAAGCTGATACTGCTCCTTTATTTTAACGAGAGCGATACGGGGTCTGTGCTGGGGGGAAGGAAGGCAGCCCGCAAGGAGGCAAAACACAGATGGACTTYGGACCTCATGAGCGGGCAAGGCTGGAGCGAGAGCTGAGGACCCTCTTTATGGGAAACTATTAAGAGCAGAAGGTCAGAAAAGCGAGATGAAGTTAAGCAAAGGGTTGGCAAGCGATTTGGGGCAGATCAGTGCTCCCTACTCAGAGGCATAAACATCTCTTCGATTTCTCCTCCTAGCCCTACGGTTCCCTCCTTCAGGGATTGGCATGTAAGTGATAAAACTTCAGCTCCTTTGAATGGGAAGATGAAAGGACAGAGCTCTTCTGCCACAACTTATGCCTGCAGGGAAAGGGTCCTCTAAAATAAGGCAGAAAGCAGCAACACAAATACGAAAAAAAAAAAAAAAACACCTCGGAACCAATTTGCTCCATTTTGTGGAAAGGCTTCCAAAAAGCTGCATTTTCAACATTTTCCTAGGAAGTTTGTTCCCCAGAAGAGACACTGCCTGCTAGAGTTACCTGCTGATGTCTCAGAAGGGGCAGTATCATCTCTTACAAGCAGCTCTAAAAGAGAAAACTCTTGTTTTCACCTATCAAGAGCCCTGTGAAGCCGTAAAGTGGCTGGCTGAAAGGGCTCCAGCCGGGCTCCCACGGAGGTCTGGGAGGGAATAAAACACAACTGAAGAGGCCACAAACGGAGATACTGGGCACTGGGATAAACACATTTCAGCTTCGCTCAAGGGACACGGGCAGCTGCTCATCTGGTCCAAAAGAAGAGGGGTTTATTGGGTTCATTTCCTTGGTAGCGCTGYGTTTCCTTGCACGTTGAGCTCTGGCGAAGAAAATGCAGCGCGGTGTTTGCAGAGCAATTAGCTGCACCCCTTCCGAAAGGGCCGGCTTCATTTACAGCGAATTCCTCCGGCTGGCGTGACACCTCGCTGCCACTTTCAAGAAATGAAATCCTGTTCTGCCAGCCAAGGAAAGTGGTGACCCAAGTTTTAAATGTCATAATTAGAGTGGTTGTGAAGCCTCAGCGCAAGCGACATTCCAGGAATCCAAAGCACCCAAAGACCCCAGCTCTGCGGGTCCATAGCCAGAGGGCTGCGAGGTGCCTTCCGAGSAGCTCTCTCGCACGTCCGCTTGCTACACAGGAATCGGGAGGGCTCAGCAGCCACCCGGGCCACGGATGAGGGAAGGAATATCCCTGAAATCATCCTCCCGCCCTTCCCCAGCGCCCAGGCGGGCAGCCTGACCTTGGCAAAGTCGCGTGAAATTTCTCTTCCTCGGCACCCGTCGCCTTCCTCGCTCCAGGTCGCGCTGCCGTTCTGGGGGGGAAAAGAAGACAGAGCTGAAGGATCCGCAGGGAATTGCAGGAGCAGGGACACCCGCGCGGCCGCTGCGATGGGTCCAATCGGCAGCGCTGAYAAGCAGCTCCAACGGGAAAAGGGCCCTGGCTCTTCCGGGTGGAAGGAGGCAGGGCAAGGAATTCCGCTTGCCGAGTCCTTGTCCCAGGGCATCGCCAGGGCTGGAAGGCAGTGGGAGCAGCCCCGGAGCCCCACAGAGCAGACTGGGACAACCCTTAAAGCACAAAGGTCGTGGAGCTGAGCGGGGCAAACCCAGTGCCCGGTGCTGCTCGCACCAGCAGGGTGGCCGGCCCGGGGCAACCGAGAAGGCTCCAAGAGATTTTGGCACAAAAAATACCCRTTAATTAGAGAGGAGGTCCAAGAAGGGAAATCTCGGAGGCATCTGGTTGCAACAAGCACATTGAATTACAGAGACGAATCGCTGCCGTCGCGGCCGGCCAAAGCTACAGCTCCCCCCTTAAAACACAGCAGCGAGCGGCCCTAATGCCTGCTGATTTAGTTTGAGCCACTAATTCCTGCTGGAAAGGCAATTATCCAGCGAGTCCCATCAACTGAAAGATATTTAATGGGGGATTATTGCCACTTCTGTTATGTCAGCTGTTTCCTCCAGCAGATCAATGCCCAGCCCGCTCGAGGACGAGATGCCAGGAGCGGTTTTGTTCGGGCTGGGTGTCCTTTGCTGGCGGAGATTAAAACATACCATTTTTTGGCTAATTGTGGTAACATCCAGCTGCTCCTAAAGCCTCGCTGCAGCCAGCTAGCCCGGATCAGACACAGTAGGTGACTGGTCGGAATTAAATACACAAGCCAGGCCCCAGTTCTGCCTCCCCGACTCGATAAGCTCAAGGGACACGATTTTCAGTGGTACTCAGCTATAAACTAAAGGGACAGAACTGCCCCTGGCATTAAAAGCTGAACTGGGTAGTCCAAGAAGCAAAACACTCGCATTTGCCGGGCACGTGGGCCACGCCAAGGACATTATTCCGCTAGACGGGGACAGGGAAGAAAAGGGCGCTGAAAGAAGGCAACAATTCTCTATTGTCAGTGGGTTTGAACTTGACCAAAATTCAGGGAATAAAACCATCCCCGGGCTTGAAGACTCTTCAAAAGTCCTTTTTCCTGTTCCCTTTGAAGAAGGGCTAAAATCAGAAGCCAATCTGAGGAAAGGCTGGCGTGACGAATACGGAGCAGGACGCGAGCTGCTTCCCACGGGGGCACGTCGAGGTGCCCGGAGCGCACAGGTCCAACATTCCCGGCRGGCACCACGCAACAGGACGGGCCAAGGGGGCTCAGAGGCTCCTTCCACGTCCAGCTTCCTCCCATTCCTGTTGGGAAAGCAAAACCCCAGAAGCCCTCCYTGTGCGCACAGCGGGAGCCCGAGAAATCAATACATCCTCCCGAGGCGTTGGTGTAAGCCAGGCAACGGGCACAGGAGGGAAAACCGCCCGCTGCCGAGACAGGCAGGTTGTTCTGCAGGGGGAATCCGGCCTCTCCYGACACCGCTTTGTGTCCGGGGAATTTGCTGGTGTCGGACAAAGAGCCGCTGCCGGCGCTCTCGCTGGCCCGTGTTTGGCTGCAGCTTCTTGCGGAAAGAGCCACCGGTTCAAAGGCCTCCGGAGCCGGCCGCTCCGGTGCCRAGTGCTAGCGAAAGGGCAGGGAATTTGGGAAAGGACCCTGGGTTTGCAGCCCGCCTCCGGAGCCTCCCCGGCTGCTCCCCACGCACCTCGGAGACCATCGGAGCGCTCTGGGATTTGCCTCTCCCGGGGGCTGCCGGCCCGACCTGGGAAGCAATTATATCTGCAGCTATTTTAGGATTACTCCCTAACCACCTGGAATATCTTATTAGARGAAAGCTCAGATGTCCAGAGCAATTTTGGTTTCCAATCCCGCAATTCAAGAGCTAGGGTTTAACCCTTCCGTCAGAAGCACCGTTTCGGAGCAAGCGGAAACGGGACCAGCAAACACCATCCTGCCTCTTCCAGCTTGCTCTTTTCAGGGCAAACACCTTAGCAGGGATTAGCCTAAAACCAGGGAATCGTCAGGTCACGTCCGGAGGACGTTTTCCACCTACATCCGACCCCCTCAGAGGTTTCCCTCGGGGATGCAGCTAAATCCTGGTGGGTTTCGCGGCACTGCCCGAGGGCAAACACTGGAGGGGACAGGAAGGGCTGAAGCTGTAAAACGCGGCAGGAAGGAGCAGGGCTGGTGTACGAGAATCTGGTGCTAGGATGGGGCCGGCTGCCCCGAGCGGGACCTCCCCCAGCACGAGGAGCTCCGTTACAATTACGGCAAAAATGGGCAAAAACCGTAGCAGGAATCGGAATAAACCCTGCTCTTAGTGGGAGCTCAGTACCTACCGCTTCAAAGCAGGGCTCTGAAAGTCTATGATTTATTTAGGAAGGGCAGGGGGCAGAAAAGCAAGGGAACGGGCTGCAATTAGCAGATGAACTACCTTTTTTTTTTTTTTTTTTTCCCCACAAAGTTTTCTTTTTTTGTACGCGTGTTCCCATAACCTCCCGAGCAGAGCGTTAACACAGCTCCTTGGCAAGCAAGGATCCACCCACGCATCCCTCAGCGAGCGCAGCACAGCCCGGGAACGGCCCCTCTTCACAGCTCCTCGCCGGGTTCGGCTCCGACAGAAGCGATAAAAGAGGATCTGCTCCGCGGGAGCGGAGCTCTCCGCGCCCCACGGGAGCGGAGCTCTCCGCGCCCCGCGGGAGCGGAGCTCTCCGCGCCCCGCGGGAGCGGAGCTCTCAGATTCGCACCGCAGGGAGAACCTGCGAGAACCCAACACGTCCGCGCTCTTCCCACCTCCAGGCGGTAGCTGGAATTTCGGCACGTTGGCACGGAAGCCGACAGGCTGCAACTACTCCCGCTGATAAATTTAGCACCTGAAAGGAACCTAAAATAAGACTCGTCTTGCCAGGCGACAAATGAGCAGCGACTCAGCTCTGCGGAGCTGCAGGTGCAGCACGACCAGTACCACGTAACGGGTCCCACACGAATCCCCCCGAGCTGCCCCAGGATGGGGGTCTGGGGCAATTCTCCGCTGCTGCATCGGGGCTTTCTGCATTTGCACGTGGGGCACAGCCGCTACAAACACGCACAGGCCTCGGATTCCGCGTGCAGACCCGCAAGCTCTGCGGACATCCAGGCACGCGGCCTCGCTTCCAAGACGCCTCCGCGGCCCCGGGGACTCCTTCGGAGCTGCCGGTCACCGCGAGCCCCAAACGAGCCGCTGCGGCGCGAAGCAGAAAGGCGCGGGGATGCGAGCTGCTTTCAACCGAGCCCGAGCGACGGATTTCGGGAGAAGCAGCAAATTTCAGAATTCAAACTCTTACTGAAAATGGCTTTTAATTAAAAAAGAAAAAAAGGGGAAAGTCAAATATTTAAGACCCGTGTGTGCGAACGATTCTGTCATTATATCAAAACCAGAAAGGGGAGATGAAGAGTGAGCGACCTGCATTTGGAATTAAACCTCGAGCCATTGCACTGGGCCACGGATATCCCAAATAACTAGGAAGCAAATGAAGCGCCCTGCACGAAAGAGCTTTTTTGTTCCCGGGATCCTCAGCCCTCTCTGGATTAACGAGCATCTCCCGAGCAATCCCTCGGTACACACAACACTCGAGGCGCATACTTGAGATTACAGAATCTCAGCCACTCAGCCCCAGACCCTAGAGCAAAAGCCAAGTAATTATTTTAAGCTGACCCACCTTAATAAACACCGTGACCTCTGTAAAAGTCGGGGTYGGGATTTGCAGCAGCGGCTGCTGCTTTCCGAGGCCGTAACGCGAGGCATCCCGAGCCTGGCGCCCGCCCCGGGCCGCTCACCTCGCCGAGCTCGAGCTCGGGACTTAGCGCCAGCGGATGCCRGGAAACCTCGCCCCGATTCTCGCGTTCCTCCACGGAACGGGAGGACGAAGGCACGCGCTGCGGCCTCGGCAAACGGCGCTCGTGCTGCTGCCTCCTTCCGCCCGCCTCCCAGGCGATCTTAACCTCACGCTTTCGAGAGAGCTTTTTCCCCCACGGACATCACTTCCAGAAGAAAAAAAATCCACCCTGGGAAGACGACATCCGAGCGGCTTTGCCGCCTCTTCTTGCCTACCACAAACGCTCCGGATGCGGCCGGATCTTGCTGGAAGCGGCACAAACCTGCACTGTATTAGCCTGGAGCCTCAGCAGACGCTGCAACAGAAGTCACAAATTCAGGAAGCGTTTGGAAAATTTCCTGGRGAGCACACGTACGGCTCCGTCTGAGCCAGGCTTTTGCCCCAGCACAGGCAAACAAAAAGCCCAGCACCTTTAAAGCAGAGCTCTTAAGCAGAAAAATTAGAACAGGTGCTTGCACGTGGGCAGGTGCCACCACGAAGCCCATGGAAACACGTGGCTTTCACRCCGCTTTTCCCGGCCCTCGCGCCAGCTCCCAGGTCCCCTCTGCCTTTCCACCTGCTTCCTCCTCGCCCCGCGCCGCGGGCTGCTGCTCCGCGGTTAAACGTTGACCCTCTGGAATGCGGCAAAGGCAAACAGGCTGCTCTGCAACCTCCGCCCGCCCCGAGGGCAGCGCGCCGCAATCGTTAATGTTCTGCACCTCGATCCGGCCTCTGGAGCATCGCGGAGCAGCAACTGTGCCACGCGCCAGGCCGGGCTGCGCTGGGACAAGTCCGTCTCGTGCAGGATTTTATCGGCCTTTTTAATCGGAATTTTATGTAGGGAGAGCRTGTGAAGCTGCCCTCTTTGCTTTACAACCCATATATGAACTTGATTTGCATGCATGTGTCCAATTCCTTTCCAACCTCGCGGGTCCTGGCCGCCTACCAGCAGGGAAACAGAGGCTTGGCAGCACGAGGAGGTTATTTTCCATTGTGCCCCAAGCCTTTGCAGACGAAACTGTCCGCAAATCCCACCAAGTTTCCCCAAATACCTGAGGGACACCCTGAAAGGCAACAGGAGTGAGCCAAAGCAACCGGGTCTGCATTAGCGCACATTACACCGAGCACAAAATAATTCCCTGGTAAYGCTTGCCGTTGCACATCCACGATCAGACGTGGCACCTTTGCGGACACGGATCTTCCCCAAGTGCTCTAGGATCAGGCCCCCGAATCCAGGCAGCTTCCCAGGGCTTACAGGAGAGGCGAGGACTGCATGGAGCACATGGACACGCTTGCTCATGCCGCAGCACCGGCGGGAAATCAACACAAGTCTTGGTTTCTCACTTTAGGCTTTGGAAATGGAGCCCCTCGCAACGGAGTCCCGCACTGAGACCAGAAAGGGGAAGTTTTTTCTGCTGGTCTCTCTAAACCAGTGAATTCTGGAGCAGTTTCTCCAGTGACYGTCACCTGACCAGCAAACCCGCCTTGTTTCCCTCCCACGGTTCCAGTAACCGCTTTCACCCCCAGCGATCTCGAGCGGCAAGCGCAGAGGCGCTCGGCGCTTCTCCAGCCGCCGCAGCCTTCGCGACGGGGTGGGCAAGCAGCTCAAAAAACAAACAAACAGAAACCCCTCAATCTAAAGCAAACTCCACTTTCTGCAGAGAAGGGCAACGTGGTTTCGAACGGGCTCGCTGAGCCCACGCAGTGCTCGGGCTCCGTTTCAGCACACACACAAAGGCAGTCAGGTATCCCCGAAAAATCTCACCGAGCTCTGCCAGAAAGCAGCACACAAGGGTGATATTAACGGCAACACCCACGTATGCCAAAACACAAGCAGGAGAGGAATTCTTCTCYCTCTGACGCTTATCCAGTGGTGATTAATTCCTCATTCAAACCACGTGTTAATCTCCTACCGTAAGCAAACGGCACGCAGCAAGTTCATTCCCTCGCTCCCGTTCCCCCCATACGAAGGGGCTCTTGCTGCTCGCAGGGATCTCCTCTGCCTGAGCCCAGGACACCAATCCCAAACACACTCCCGGGTCGCTGCTCCAAGGGATCTTACACCAAGAGGTCGTGGTTGGGGGCGAGATAACTCCAAAGAGGCATCAGAAGGCAAGTGCCTGCGCTGAGAATAAATGCAGCCCCAGCCCGGCCCGTTCGGAACGGCTCAGCAGCTCYGAGACGGCAGAGACATGGGCCAGAAACAGAGCCCTCCTCCTTTTTGCGAAGGCTGCTGCGGATTTGGGCTGGAAGGGGGGGTTTTCCACTTGTTTTAGGACTAGCTAGAACCGCGCGGCATCAAAGCAGCCGGAGCTCTGATGAAATCTCGTTTTATAAAAGCAGAAGCTGGAGGAATGCACGGGGGAAGTGCCCTTCCAAAGGGCTCGCGGGCGGCTGGTGCTTGGAACAGGACCCCGCACGTTTCTTTTTTGGGGAAAGGAAAACCGACACTGACCTGCTTGAGCTGCTCGTCCAGTCTCCAGGTCTGGCGCCCGGAGGGGGACCCGGAATACGTCTGCTTAGTAGCGTCTTTCCCCTGCTCTTCTTTCCCCGGGTGCCCCGGAGCCGGGAGAGCACTGGAGGTCGAAGCCACTCTTTGGTTGTGCCGGGCGACTTTGGGAGCGTGGAAATACTTCAGGGCGGCGCAGGCGTCTTTCCCCGTCCCGTCAGCGCCGTCCTCGAGCTCCGCGCCTTCCTCCTCGTCGTCGTCCTCGTCGTCGTCCTCCTCGGAGCTGACGCCGCGCTGATCCACGGGGCGCGCGATGCCGGGCGGGCCCTTGGCCGGGGCGGCGAGCGCCGGCGGGAACAGGAGCCGCGCCGGCGGCCGCTCCCGGGAATCCATGGGCTGCTGCTGCTGCTGCTTCTGCAGCTGCTCCACGACGGCTTCCAGCTTCATCCCGCCGCTCGCATGGCCGGCGGGCGACGGCGGCTCCAGCCCCGGCCGCGGCAGCTCGGCGCGAGCTGGAAGACAGGCAAATATTTGAGCGGAGAACGGAGCCTTGATTCCGGTTCTATAAAATAAACGTAGCTTATCAGCGCGGCCGGGACGGGGGTCCGGGCCGCGGGCTTCGGGCTCCTGCCCCACAACCGTCCCCCACACGGTACCGCCCCCCCCCCAAGTCCCGGTTCCGGCTCCCCGGTGCCGTT